ATCACTGACATTATTATTAATCTCATTGTCGGTGATGAGCGAGTGAGGAGAACAATAGGAAAAGGTAATCAGGTCCGAGCAGCGGATAAATCGTGTTATTACCACAGATTGCCATCTGGAAAAACACGCCTTGCATCAGCGACTATGGTGACAGTAATAGGATACGCTCAGGCTGCGCACGATCCGATGCACATGCTGTATCCTCATGGAGGACGCGAACGCGTGCAGCGTGCAAAGCTTCACACTTGATTTTTCAAGCATACGCCACTAAACTCTTCGGACCCGACAGACAGAACGGCTCAAAATTTCTCAGAACTGTCGTCATCAATAATGACCCGGCTATGTCTGTTAATACGCAATTAAATTGTTGATCAAAATACACAAAAGTGACAGTTTCAGATGATCATCCGGACACTTACTTGCCGGAAAACCACTAGTGGCGGCACACCAGCCTGGCAGAGCGGATATGTGAAATAAAAAGAGATGAAAAGGTGATTAGCGACAGATTATTGTCTTGCAACACATGTAGTCAGTGCTAAGCTGGCCAAGGCGATAGTTTGTACGCAGCTGGCAGCACGAGAACTGGAGTGGTCTATGAACTAGAAGCCGAGTGGGATTATTACCTGCAGTCCGTGAGACGCTTGAAAGTGGCGCTGATTATTGTTTTTTTTCCTGTGTCGAGCTCATGCTCCTCGATTACGAAAGGGGTTGATTGTGGCAACTGTCAGGTGTAGCGGCTGACTCTGTCATGGGTCTACTCCTCAGTTCCGCGTTGACTTCCGGCGGAGCAGCGTACCCTTGAGAGTCTCGACAAGGTTGGGATTTCAACGCGAATTGCAACGCTGGATCTGGTGTGTGAGATAGCACAAGGAAGGCATCAATCAAGGAGGGTCCTACAGAATGTTCTACAGAATTCGGGAAGCGATGCTCGCCCCCAAGCCAAGAATACTCCGCCCTTTCAGCTTGAATTCAGCGAATGCCCAGTCAGGTGATCGCGTCGCGTCTATAAGCCCCGCCTCTGCTTTTCCCACCAGATTTGACCTCGATGGACCGAGAATGGACCGGGCAAGGAGGCTGGAGGACGTCCGGTGGGAACTGATGAGACGTCCACGCTTTCATTAAGAGGTGCGCCGGAGACTGCCAGTGTATTGCGCATGTATTTATTTGACTTGTCAATGGAAAGAAGCCGCATTGAATGGCGCATGCACTTACGTAGTATGTGATGGTTCTAGACTGGGGAAAATATGCTCTGGATACTACGAGCACCGCCCAGCGCACCGTATCTGGTCCTTGGTTCGTATAGGAAATTGATGATAGCTACAGTGACTGCGGTTACATGAGTGACGTGGAAACCCGGTGAGATTGGGGGTGACACAGCGTGTATGCAAAGGCTTCGAGTGCACCTGTCGAAACTCTGTTCGGAAAGCTTGCAAGCGTGGTTGACTGGCAGCGAACAGCAGAGGCCCTTCTCCAAAAAGCTACCGGTCCGGTGGGTGTTCAGCAAGAAAAGCATACGAGGAGAGTTTTGCGCCACATGTCTTCATTGAATTTGCCCATCTGCCAGCCCTGAGACCTGTGCAACTTCAGGTCTCGAAGGCATCCAGACAAAATTGTCAATTCCAACGAAGCGTTAGTAATAGCTCCGACTCAGAGACTACGTGCCTGGGAGCCCATACGCCTTACACAGCTGCAGATTGCCGTCTGATCCAGCCGGTTCACAAACAGAGTTGCTTATTGAACTGGCACCTGTCTGCTTACTCGTAGTAGTAGATCCCCCCAAGACGGACATTAAACGGTTGCCGGAGGCCATCAAAAAACCATAAAATGGACTAGTTCAACCATGACAGGCTACTAGGTTCCTGAACCGACGGAGTCTCTACTAGTAGGCGTTAGCCTCATCATATTCGATCACGACGCGAATGGCTTACCGAGTCGCGAAATGTAGAGTCGCTCGGCCGGGAACTTGAAACCTGCCCTAGCACCATTTACCGGACATTGGCAATCTCACTAATACCCAGCGCCGGCAACTTCTGTCTGCCTACCTGTCCATTAGGCTCGTACTCGGGAGCCAGGTAGCACTCGTCGCCATTTGATACAGGTTAGCATACATAGTAGTAAGGCAGAGAGGCAGGCCTTCTGATCTCGCAAGGCCGCAGCAATTGACTTCGAATTCCCAAAGTAATAAACTACCCGCGAACCGTGGACAGGACGAGCCCCCGGGTCCCTTTGTCCCGAAAAACATCAAAGCTCACCATAAGATGCTTGGGAACTATTATAATGTTGGATATCGCTGACGGTGAAGGCTGTGATAATAACTTGAAGTATAGTTGTGTCAGGTTGCGTCCAAGACTCCTAGTCACCGTCATGGAGGGTCGTGGGCGTGAACGACGATCAATAAGCGCGACTCGACAGGGCGCTTATGGATGTAATGCAGGATTCAGTAATACATGATATATTTATATACAGACGATCATAAACTGCTAGTGCGATAGAATGTGCGAGCTTCGTCATATACTAGTACATAAAATATAGAATCCTAAGCACGTAAAGAAGATTGTAACAAGTCACCTGGTGCGTATTTTTATGCAGTTTAGTCAGATGGACGGAGACGCAGGCCGGATAATTTAGGTTCGCTGTCGTTTTTTACGTTTATCAGAAAAGGAAGAACGAGAGGTATCATAGTTCCAATGGTTCCCGCTATTGGGGGCCTGCGCCTCTGTATAGTAGCGATGCCGAGGGCGTTTGCAGTCGCGAGCCTGAAATTGGTTCTGGCCCAAGGAGTGTCCAACGTGGGGAGAGTTCGGTGGCGATTCATAAGCTGGGGGAAGGGACAGACCATTGAGACGCTTCTCCATTTTTCCTGAATCTACCAGACAAATAGTTTCATTACGGTGAGCAATCGTCTTCAACAGCTGTGTCAATATGGCGGTGCTTAATTAGGAAGCCGGTACTAGATACCTTGTCAGATATTCCGACGACGCTGCCAAGAATGTTGCAAGAGAAATGGTCAACTTCCAGCGTGCCGTAAGCGCTCCGGAATGCTGCTCGTATTTGCCGAATTCTTCTGGCGGCTTTACCAATATCGTGCTCTGCCCATCGTTAAACGAGTAATTTCACGATGTTAACTGAAGGAACACACCAGGATGTAACAGACATTCCATGGATAGTGCGTCAGGCTTATGTTCATTGTTCCAGCCTTTAACTTCCTTCGGTATGAGACTGCCTGTCGTTATCGAGATGCAGTCCGCATCGTAACGGAACTTATCACCGTAGTAATCGAAGAAGTCCATGAGTAGAGAGCCTAGTGATTTGTTCTCCAGAGGTTTTTCGAGATGTGAAACTGGCCGCTTCCCGGGATTAGCCTATACAGCATGGATCAGCCAAACCTCGGGGTACGAATGGAAAATGTACCTGGAGTAAATGAATCACGAGACACATGGTAGCATAACTACCCAAGCCGCCGCTGGAAGCCAAATCCAACCCTTTCTGTGAGAGAAAGGCTTTGATCACAAGGACCAAGTATCTGAGAGCTGGCATCTCGTCCAAATAATGCTTGATCACTGGGATGGCTTTCACACCTTCGTCAGAATTGATGCATATATTCAACTTGATTGATCCTGTCCCAAAATGCATAAGTATGCGATAACGGAGAATTACGTGAAGACTACTTCACACCAAGTTCAGGGATCGTCTCAGACGACAGAACTGGCACTCTGGCTCCATCGGCTACTCGGAATTTCGTGCTCATCTGAGCTTGCTCGAATGCGGACGAAAGTTGGAACAAGGCTTTTGCCCGGTAGCTATCTTGATAAACTTGGGAAGTTTCCACTGCGATATCCACATTGCTTCATATACTGATGAGCCTATTACCGCATATCGCAGATGAATCGCTTCTTACGCTTCAAAGGAGCAGAATTCTTGAGCCATGCTGCCATAGACCGTGACATTGCAACTTGAGAAACGCCTTCGAATGACTTCTTCGACTTTGGCGAGGACAAGTTCGCGAGCAGACGTTTCCTGGCGAGTTGGACGTACATAGTCCATAAAAGCGACAATTTCGTCGTGCAGTCTGGCGAAACCTCAATCAATATATGCGTCGGATTTTCAAATGGGCAATGCAGCACACCTCTTCTCTTTAGACTCGTATCTCGTCATCGGCAGGGAACCCATCCATGGCGTGGACCATTGGATATCTGGTTTGCGCTTACGAGCACGTTTGGGTTTCTTGATCTTCCTGCGAGACACCTTACGCGCACGACCCGGAGCTACTGGTAGGGCCGACACATTTCTTGCAGTACAGGTGCCCGAACGGAGTACTGGCATAATGGTTGTATCTTGCCTGGGGGATATCTGCACAAAAGTTTGTTATGTGCAAGGAGTTGGGCACATGCCGCAGTCCGGCTTATCGTCCTGACCATCCACCGTGAACCGTTATATTCAAGATATTGTCACTGGGAAAGCCTGGGAGAGCGGGACTTAGCGGGACGCACGAGACGCCCATATTGGGTTATTAGCCACGTGGCGCGGTCCTCGTTCGATTCCCTGTCGGGCACGCTTTCCAAGCTTTCACTGTGTCTGCTGCTGTGACATAGAAACGTGATTCAATATTCAATATTGAAAACCGAGTCTTCGCTGCAGTGATCTTGCCGCACGAAGATTCGGACCACGTACTTAGTTTGCAGAAGTCTTGAATTTGGTACGCATTTTGATGACCCACCATGTATATGATTCAGATATCGATATCACGTACATCAACAATCACTGAGATGAAGGCGCCACCTGTGGCGCCACAGACCTAACTTGGGTTATACATTAACTTAAGCTTGAGAGAAGGGAGCGGTCGAAGAGGCTTTACTCTTTATAAACTGTTTATGAATATCTACAGCCCTCTCTCTCTGTTTTATGGCATCAGTATAAAGGTAAAAGGTTGAAGCAATAACAATGATTGCGCAGGATTGCGCATGGTGGAAAAGATAATATTGCAAAAATGATGCAAAACTCTCCCTGGCGGGGAGTCGAACCCCGCTTTCGCGCGCACCGTTGCGATCATCGCAATGACAGGCGCGTGTACTAACCGATATACTACCAGGGATGTACATGATGCAAGTTTTATATTATATAGTGCCGTAGTTACCGCAACAACCTCAACAGGTCACCGCCGTCAGTGTGAGTCGTCTACTCCCGAGTCGAATTTTCCTAAATCTCCAGTTTTCAAACGGTTGTCGGTAATAGTGTGTCATAATCCATAAACTTTGTCGACAGGACAACGTTGGCGACATAGAAGAGAGGGTTTGGTCTCTGATATATGGATCCACTGGGCACTTAATGATGCATAAATGCACCAATCGGTATGCTACTCGCATTTACTATGTGGCTAAAGAGCTCAAACTATATGGCAGGCTTAGGTTTAGTAAGACTCAAGTCGTCGAGCAACTTACTGCCTATTCAGATCTTCCTACACTTGTCTTTGGCGGCAATACTTGCAAAATCAAGTCTAAGAGCACTATCTCAACGCGTCATGGCGTGACAACCGGCCGCGTTTATGGTCTGTGCGTTCTGCCATATCATCATGCTCTTGTGGATCTGATGATAGTATAAAGCAGTGGTTACATCGCTGATGTGCTTACAATACGTTTCTATCTTCGGGCGGCGTCGCACTGACGCTCTATCTCGGGAGGTCGGCTGGAGGAGCCTGAAGCTAACGCGTACCTTCGGCTGCATACGCAAGTGACTCACTCAAATTTACTTCCTGGCAATCTTCAACAACTTACAATGCAGAAACAGTGAGATGCCAAGTCTTCGTTTTTGTTCAAAGGACTTCGGCTTGCATACGGGTGACTCGACTTTCGGCTGCGAGCTCCTTGTTATTGGAACTTGCCGTTAAGTCCCAGGATATAAAGCTATCGCAGATCCGTCCTCGCTTTTTATTCACGAATCCTTCGCCTTGATCCTCCCTGGAATATTATGCCCGCAGTCATCTCAGGAAAAGTCCTCGTCACTGGGGCGAATGGCTTCCTCGCATACTGGCTAGTGAAGCGGCTCCTTGAACAAGGATACTCTGTCCGTGGCACTGTCCGCGCGCAATCCAAGGGAATCCACCTTCTGGAGACTTTCAAGGATTATACAGGCCAGTTAGAGATCGTTGAGGTGGAAGACATCGCCAAGGTTTGCACTCTTCTCACTTTGTAGAATAATCCGAATGTCTGACTTACCCTTCCTACTCAGCCTGGTGCTTTCGATCAGGTGGTGAAAGGCGTCGATGCCATCTTTCACTCAGCATCTCCCGTTCATCTGAATGCGGATGACCCCGACGAACAAATCCTCCCCGCAGTGGGAGGGACTAAAGGTCTCCTACAGAGCGCTATGGACTACGGTAATTCCGTCAAGCGCTTCATTTACATGTCTTCGTGTGCCACCGTCTTCCGATTCCAAGCTGAACCAGCCACCTTTAACGAGGACGATTGGAATGACACGAGTGTCAAGGAGGTCCAGGAGAAGGGTCGAGATGCCTCAGGGGCAAGCAAATACTGTGCGAGCAAGACGTTAGCAGAGCGTGCCGCATGGGCGTTCATGCAGGACAACAAGGATAAAGTCGGTTTCGACCTCGTCGCAATCCAGGCACCTTACGTCTTCGGACCTTTCTTGCAAGATGTCGCTGTCCCAGAGAAGCTCAACAGTTCCAATCTCGATTGGTGGGATGCTGTGGTGAAGGGCAAGAAGGATGACAAGTTTCTCGCAACTATGGGGTATATATCTCGCTGATAGCGTCTTAACTCGTACTCACTGCATTGTCGATCGCAGGATGGAGTGGATTGATGTCCGCGACGTTGCTCTGGCACATATCCTTTCCCTTCAGAAGGAGGCTGCAGGCGGTAATCGCTGCATCGTCTCGTCAGGCGTATTCAAGTGGCAAGATTTTGGTGAGTTTCTGCCTTGATCATCCCATACTGGACTAATACAGTGTGTTCCTTTCCCTTAGTCAACATTGCACACACTGGAGATTCAAAGTTACCAGCAGGTAACACGTCGTATGATCCGTCGAAAGCCGTCCATCATGTACGGTTCGATGTGTCCAAAGCTCGGAAGGATCTGGGGATCAAGTACATCACTCTTGAAGAAGGCACCAAGGATATGCTGGCACAGTTTAAGGAGAAAGGTTGGATTGCTTGAGGCAGAATGTGATGTACGAATTGGCAAAGAATGAGTGCATCCCCAGTTTCCGCAGACGTAGGTACGACTTGTCTGTGTTTCTGTATCATGGTACTGTCGCTGGAAGTGAACATAGATAAATCGTAACGATTGCCAGGCGAGGTTTACGGCTGTATCACACGACGCGTAGCACCACGATCAGAGAGATTCCTGATGAGAAGGATAACTTCAAGTTGAGTGCCATATTCTCTTCAATGACACCCACTCGCATTCGGCATGGAAATGGGACCCCACTTCAGTCGAACATCCCTGCACCTGTTGGCACCGTTGGTTCATCGGAAGACCGTTATACTCAAAATTCCACGGTTTCCCTCTGGGCGAACATTTTGCCCACCCATTTGAAAGTCTCTGAGCGAACATTTTATTCACCCATAAGCTGGTCTCTGGGCGAACATTTTCCGCAGGTCCCAGAACGGTAGAACGAGGAAATCTGTCCGTGTATATTTCAAATTCCAACTTCCCCCCTCCGCGCCCCCAAACACAGCTAGTAGCTACATTACAACAACAAGAAAGCATATCCATTCTATCAGTATGGTATATATATACTACTCTACATTACACAGAGAAAGAAGAAGAAAAAAAGCACTCCAGCGTACACAAACGTCCCAATCATGATGATTTGTCCATGTTATGGCTTTGTCTCGGGATATGCGGCTCGAGAACAAAACAAAGGGGGAGCGGGGGAATAGCAAAAAAAGCACACATCTTGTCGAACCTCGGGGGGTAAAAAAACAAAAAAAAAAACAAATCGACAATCCATTAGGCAGGCAACCAGGGTAATAGAGTAGTAAGGGGTATCCGCCACGAATGTCGGCCAACCGGTAAGAAAAACAAAGAAAGGTATGCCAGATGAGAAAGACGAGGAGTGGTGGTGACCGCATCCGATTCAGTCAGTGATGTACGAACAACGAGCACAAGCAACGAGCGAAAATGGATGGATGGACGAATGGGATCTCTCTGACCCCGGGGGTTTACTTTGGCTTCTGGAGGACGCCCATGATAGCTTCGACACCCCGTACGCCAAGACCGCCCTTTGGATAGCAAATAAAGAGCTTCGAGAAAGAGAGAGAGGGCTCAGATCAGTCCACCGGTAAAACAGAACAACGACAACAACAAAAAAACTCACCGGATCTTGTTCAATCCCAAACTTGCCCCTAAAATCGCCCTTGTTCGTCAAATGGAACGTATGCGAGATCCCATTATACGTCTTCTCCAACGTCCGGATCCGGAACCCGCCCACGTTATCCACCCCATGCAGCTTCTGCGACGCACCCGCACCAAACGTCGCCGTGCGCACCCCCGCGTCGCCCAGCTTCTTGATCACATACGACAGTATGTACTCGATCGCACCGAGAGGCGCGTTGGAAAACTCCAAGGCCCATTTGATTTGGAAGCCGTGGATGGCGGCCAGTTGGGCGAGGACGACGACCGAGCAGATCTACCCATAGCCATGTCAGCCATCTCAAATTTCTTTGGGGAAAAATAGAAAGCACCGTACCTCGCCGTCTTTATCCGTAGCATAGAAATACTTCCTATGCTGCACATCATCAAAGGGCCTCACGCCGGTCAAATGGATCTGCGTCCCCTTCCTATTCGCCGCCCACTCCATACACCTCTCCTCAATCTTCTTCTTCACCTCCGGCTCAGGCTCGCCCTCCACCTCATGCACCTTCACGCCCTCTCTCTCTGCCCTATGGATCTTCCTCCGCACCGTCTTATCCTGACTCGCCGGATCCACCTCGATCGGGTTCACGCGCTCTTCCGCCACAGCGATCACAGCGCTCCACCCCATTTCCTCCGCGAGGTACCGCTCGGTGTCCTTGTCGACGCAGCACCATATCGGCTTCAGGTTCGCCTTGTCAGAATGCAGAAAGTGCAGGAACCCCTTGACGACGCGGGGAATTTGCGACGACTCGCAAAGGGGGTTGCCGAATACGACGGCGAAGCCGCCCTGCACGATGTACCCGACCGCAGCACCGGTGGTATCGTCACGCCATACCGTCCACGCAGGATCCACCCACGACGTATTCGTCGCATCGCCATACTTTGCAATGAGCTATCAAAGAAACACACACCGATCAGCTGTCATCCATAATCATTGAAAAGAAAGACCACTCACGTTCTCAAGCGGGGGCATCTCCCCATGCGGGTGTCCAGGCTGATACGTTTTACTCTCCGGCCCGTGCAAAATCATAGACGTCGCCGCAGCCATGGAAGCCTCCGTCGGATCCTGACCGTGCGTCGTAAAACTCTTGGGATCTCTCGGCAAAAGACTCGCCCAGCGGATGTCTCCCAGTTTCAAAAAGAGCATCACGATACGCTCGAGACCGACTCCGCCACCTCCATGCTGTTTGAGTCACACACACAGGCCCCCAGTCAGCGAGACACGCTTAGGGAAACGAAAAGAGACGTACGGGAGGGCAGCCCCATCGGAATCCATTCACATAGTCGATCATAGTCTCAGGCTCGAGGCCCGCAGCCTTCATCCTCTCCTCCAGCATCGGTGCATCGTGCACACGCTGTCCACCCGACAAGATCTCCTCGCCCCGAAGGAAAATATCAAACGAGTTTGACAATTTCTACACACCATCATCATCAGTCAAAGATAAAAAAAAAGGGTAGAGGAAGAAGACGCACTGGGTTCTCCGGATCCGGCATCGTGTAAAACGGCCTAACCTCCAAGGGGAATTTATCCAAAATATAATAATCCGCCCCATACTTTTCCTTCACGAGTGCGCCCAACTTCCTCTCCATCGCCGTACTCAAATCCTCCTCCTCACTCGGCTCCTCCCCGTCATCGTCCCTCACACCTGCCTCTCTCAACATCCGGATCCCGTCTGCAAACTTGAGTCGGGGCGTTTCGTCGAGAATGACGACGTCTTC